CATGGAATCAAATGTGACAGAGGAGATTGAGAAAAGAGTACACATTTCTTTTTGTGGATATTGGAATTTAATTCTTATATTATGAAACCTATATAAAGAAAGACAATCCAAATGTTTGTTTAGTATGCCTTTCATTTTTCTGTGCTCCTAGAGTAATGTATCCCAATCTTAAATTTCCTCCTCATTAGAAAATTCATTTCACCCTTTAGCTTTACATGCTATGTATTTGTTTTCTTGGACCTTTTCCTTCCAACCTGAGGCAGAGCTAGTGGCAAAATCAGGAATTTTCTCACGGGTGTTCAAACTTGAAAGACGTAAAAAAATCCATGACAAAGGGTGTTCAATATATGTTATATACCTTTAAAACCTAATATTTTACATATATACGCAGTGTAATTTTCTGACGAAGGGTGGTCCTTACCAAAGTGTAGCTTCGCCCCTGGGCGAAGTCATGATTTGAAGTTTATGAGTTAAGAATTTTAGTTCGCTTAAGTTACGTCTGAGTTCTAAATTCATAAAACAAATACAAGATTTGGACTAACGTTACTGAGTTCGTCCGAACTCGTAACTGAAGGGCTAGCTCCGCTCTTGCTTCCAACTAGATAATTTGGTGGAAGAATGTGCATTGGAAGTATCTTTCACCTGCATTAAGTGTTGTACACCAAGTTAAATTGCACTTAAAAGGAATTATACAAATTCCCACTAACCACAACTAATTTAAAATTTGATTCAATGACTCTCCACCAACTTGTCCTAACAGGTTCTTGCATTTCTTCCTTATCATTATGTGGCAAAAGCCAATGAAGGTAAGAAAGGGGAACAGAATTATATTTTCTTTCCTTCAAATAGAACTTTTTTCCATTTAAATTTCAACTTTGCCTTTTATCTTCTCTTCACGATTCAAAAAGAGTTAAATTGATAATTATGCAAACGAAATAATAACAGTAATGACAAAATTATAGTATATCTATATCCTTTAGAGGTGGCACGAAATTAGCTTGAATAAACTAGATGGTGTAGATGATTTGAATTGTCAAATCCAAATAGGCATTTATTGAATGATTAATTGTGTAAGGAAAAAAAAAAGGGACCAGTTAATTTCCATTCCTTTAGCATTTACAAGGTGAGGAAAATTGCTTAGTAAATTGACCAAATATGGAAAAAGGCACAAAATTAAGAAATCTTTTTGCTAGCATCCTTAGAGAGTGGGACTGCACAAACTAATAAATATTCTTTCTTTAATTTATAAATTTTTACATTAAATTATTTGATTCGATTTAAATATCGAATGTGCATAAAAATTTCGTAAATGAGTAGAATGAGGAGTTTAGGTCAGACCTCTCTATGACAGCATCCCTATATAACAATACTTCACTATAAAAGCCAAGCTTTTCCTTAACCAATTTTAATATTATGTTATAATATATTTCTCTGTAACAGCACTTCGCTATAACATCCAAAAATATTCGGAACAAACGAGAATGTTATAGAGAGGTTTGACCGTACTATGATTCTATTGTAGGAAAGATAGGACAGTTTGTAGCATAAGGAAGTTACTTTCTACAGCTTTTGAAGTAAAAGAAAAAAAAAACAAATTAACAGATCTATAATTCATGTATAGTATCATTTTAAAAGGTACTCCCTCCGGTCCAAAATAAGTAATTTTTTGGCTTTTTTCTTATGGTCCAAAATAAGTGATTTTTTCAGATTTCAAGAATGAATTAATTATTTTTTTTCTACATTGCCCTTGGAGTAATTAATGTTGGAATATGTGTTAGGAGTGTTTATGTGAAGAGACAATAAAGGTTAATATGGTCAATTTCATTACTAATTTATGTTAAAAGGTAAATTTCTTAATATGTGTGAAAACAACTAAAAAATAACTTATTTTAGTACGGAGGGAGTAATAAGAACAAGAAGACATTAATAACAAACGTTGAAACGAACTAAAATTGGCATCATTTGTAATAATTAATGAGTATCCACTTTGAAAGAGGCGTGGCTTTTCTAGAAAGAAAAAAAAATCACTCTCTATTATTTTTAATTTCTCTGAAAAGAAATATTCTGTGCTATTGGGTTTTTCTCAAAGATTACAACATAGCAAAAAAATATTCACTACTAGAAATTCGCTAAAAATCATGAGATCCAAACTAAAATAAGTAAAATATCTGTTTTCCTATTCTTATTTTCTCTTCGTTGGGGTGACAAAAAAGGATAGCTTTTGTGCAATCAATCCGAATCTAACAGTTACTTTTATTAGCTTAGTTAATAATACCAATTCTATTTTGTTTATCTAATGGCAAATCATATCCATCTAGCTAAAGGTGAATCAAAAACGAAGGACTAGGAGTAACTAGAGTTTTTTCCTATATTTCTATGATTACACTTGGTATTTTGCAAGATAAAATTCAACTTTAAGATTTGCTATTACATTTTTGGTGGTCCATTTATGCACCTACGACCTATCTTACCATTAAAACTGACGGCTGAATTTTCAAGTAAGTTCACCATTTTATGTAGTTAGTCAATAGACGGTAAAATTTTATCATGTGTATCCCATAGGCCATAAATGGTCCGCACATACCACCAAAGCATATAGTGGCATCACAAGTATTGATTTCAAGTTTTTAGATATAAAAAACTTGTTGATATGATATGTTTTTACCTTCTTAATGGATCTACTCGATGCGAATCCAAATTAGTTGGGTTAGTGAATCGCGAATACCAGATGATTATTTTTAAAAAAGAATTATTAGGAAAAAAATTGGTCCTCACATAACTAGACTAGAGTAGGACATTTTACTTTAAAGTAAAGGCATCTCGATCAATGAGTTGGTTCCACTTGCTTTAAAGTTATAGGAGTAACTTTTTATTTTAGTTACAGGAGTAGCAGCACTAATTATGTGAATATTGTGTCACACTTGGTAGATTTTAGGACCTAATAATACTAAAACTATCATGTGTGGCACAAGACAAGTTGTGATTAGGGATAAGAGTTAAGACTATGGCAATTTTAATTAGTTCCATTAAATGTTAGGGTAACCAAAGGAAGAATCTCGCTCAATATTGCAAGGCAAGTTTAATGCTTTTTCCAAGGCGACGTGTTCCAATACAAATGCCTGTTGTCCCTTTCATGGGGCTAGGCCACCAACCTAACCAGAATCTATGTCATCTTTCTTACTTTTTCTTTTTCTCTATCTATTATCAACATGTAAACTTCAATTGATCTATTACATCAATTTTCGCCATCCATTAATAGTTAGGCAAATGAGAATAGATTTCATCATCGTTTTTTGTTTATGCTGGAATTTAAATTTTAAGTATATTATATTTGTCTTTTCTTTTGACTCAGAATGTTACAGACTTTAGTGTACTATTGGTTCCCATATTACACAATATTATGGTAAAAATAGCACGAGTTAGCCAGTTTTCGGATTGGTCATTCAAAAATAGTCAGCGTTTGCAAAGTCATTGAAAAATAGCTACTATTTTTCTATAACACGGAAAGTTCCAGCATAATATACTGGAGATCGGTGCATTTGTGTATGAACTTCCAGCATATTATGCTGGAACTCCAACACGCGGAAAGTTCCAGTATAATATACTGGAACTCTAGTATATTATATTGGAGTTCCAATATACTTATGCTGGAACTTCAGTATAATATACTGGAATTCCAGTTCCAGTATATTATGCTGGAGTATTTTTTTGGATTTTAAATAATATTTTCGTTCAGATTTATCTTTACATAAAAAATGACTAAATTTCGATTACTTTTGGAACTGTATTTTTAAATAAGCACTTGTAAAGCTGGCTATGTTTTAATTTCTCCCAATATTAGGCTGCCGGCTAGTACCATTAGCGCCCATTGCAAAGTAGAGAGTTTACTTCTGATTTAATCAGTGTGGAGAATTGAAAGTTCAAGTCTGGTCATCCCATATTTTCCTTTATATAAAATTAAAAAGGAAGAAGTCTATTAAAATTTTCTCAAGAATCCTAGGTTATTTCATATTCAATATGTTAGAAGTTTGTGGATATCTTGATGCTGCTACTTTCGTCAATACTGCAGCATTTCATTTCGTTCCAAATAAATGTTTTACTTTACTGTATATTTGTTGTATGTCATTTGTATATCTTGTATATATCATATGTATGCCATATCCCGTGTGCATCAGTATTATATACATGACATGCATATGATATATAAATAAGGCCAAATACATATACAACTCATCCAACTTGACACCATTTTTTATTTTGGTACTCTATCTTTATTTTGTTCCATTTTGGCCCTTCAATTCTATTTCTTATGTTCCACTTCAACACAAAAGCTGAAACCAGTGCAAAAAATATAGCCCGTTAAATCTGAGGTGTAATAAATATCCAGTTAAATATTACCATCTGGTTTTTTCATCCATATCAAACGGGTCAATACTAAAATACTTGACCCGACCGTATCTTTGTGGGTTTATTTCATCTAAACGGGCCAAGTATGAAATCGGCAGATGAAAGTTTTGGAACTTACAGAATGAA